ATTCAGGATGTTATCCAGGTCTCACTGCATTTGAACATTGCCTTCTTCAGTATCTGAGAAGGGGAAAATGATGCTGAACATTGTGTAATAATTGGTGAACAATCCCACATCTGACCTTAGATTGGAGGGAAGGGCAATGATGAAGCAGTTGAAGAAGGCTGTGGCTAGGATACTACGCTGAGGAACTCCTGCAGAGATGTTGTGGAGCTGAGATGACTGACCTCCAACAACCACAGCCATTTTCCTTTGTGCCAGCAATGACTAGTTGAGCTTTTTTTTCCCATGATTCCCATTCATTCCAATATCCCCAGAGCTCCATGATGCCACACTCAGTCAAATGCTGTCTTGGTATCAAGGACAGTCACTTACACCTCATCTCTGAAGTACAGCGCTTTTGTCCATGTTTGGACTAAGCAATGAGATCAAGAGTTGAGTGGCCTGCCTCTTTGTGGAACCAGGACTGATCTCCCAGCTTGATTGTAATGTAAAGTGGAAGACATTCCAGGCCATGAGTTTACAACTTACGTTAGAAAATAATTCTGCAGCTTGTGATTGTCAAGAACACCCCATGGATATTCAGCTTTGAGTTGCTGTATCTGTTCAACATCTATCCAATTTAGCATATTGGTCGTACCATGAACCATATGAAGGGTATCCTCAATGTGAAGAGTAAACTTTGTCTACAAGGTGACTCCTATTGATTGTGTCATGTACAGACACATCTGTCACAGGTAGATTGGTGAGGATGAGGTCAAGTAAGATTCTCTCTCTTACTGGTTACACACCACCAAAGAACCAGACTAGCAGCTATATCCCTTATGACTCTACCACCTTGGTCAGTAATGGTGCTGTCAAGTTATTATTGGTGATGGACATTGATGTCCCTCCTGAAAATACATTCTGCACCCTGATACCCTTGTTGGTGGGACAGGACATCTCTCGGGATGTTATTGGTGGTAACTGGGACATTATTTGTAGTGTGTTAATCTACATAACTATGTCAGCCTGTTGCTTAACTAGTCTGTGGGACTCCTGTTCCAAATTTGGCACAAACTTCTAGATGTTTTTAAGGAGGGCTTTGCAGGGCTGACAGGGAATTGTCATTTTGCCATTGCCATTTCTGCTACCTAGGTTAATACTGGGCACTCTGTCCAGTTTCAGTCAAATGTTCACACAACGTACTTTGTTTTTGGATAAGGTGATACAGGGAATTGGTTAGAGCAATGCAGACGTTGTCTGCTGGAACACTTGCATTCTCGTAGTCATGATCAGACTGGTGCAAATAATCCACAGATACTCTTCAGGATAAGGTGCCTATTCAATTATGCATTTGAAAAATAGAGCTACGATGCGACTGCTTATTACAAGGTAGCAAGAATTCTGGGATACAATCTAAAACCTCATGTCTTAACATCTGTTTCTGGAACATTGTGAAGCTGGTGAAATCAAGCAGCTACTTCACAAAACCATGCAGCCTGGAATGAGGCCATCGAACCCACTGTGCCTGTGCCAGCTCTCTGAAAGAGCTACCAATTAGTCTCACTTCCCCTATTCTTTTCCCAGACATCTGAAAATCTCTCCTTAAGTATTTATCTAATTTCCTTCAGAAACCAATTGAATAATTTACTTTCTCCACACATTCAGGCAGTGCATTCCAAATCATCATAATGAGCTAAATTGAAAATTAGTTTCTCCACTTTTCACCATCCACTTCACAGTGAGTACATACTTTTTTAAGGCCATAATTTCGTGAAAGAATGATCTGATACGTCCATTCAAGATAGTTCTACTAACGTTTAAAATAATTGTTGTGTTTTTATTTCCAATTGTCAATTGATCATGAAAAGCATCAATTTCCTTTTTTGTTAAAGTTGTTATTCGAGTGACTATACAACTGATCAACATTTTACATCAAAACTATGTATTAATCTATGTTAAAGAACAACTTCCACAGGATTTAAATCAAACATAAAAACAGAATTCTCAATGACTAAAATGTATGTTAGAAATAGTAGCTGCCTCTCCACTTCCCTAAAAATATAAATGGTTTCAAGTTAAAAATACAGATTAAAGGAAGGAATATTTCTGAGAAAAATGAAATACTTTACATTTCAAGTATGTTGAAAAAATGTGTAAACCATTCAGCCCCTCAGGTTTAATTCCCCATTCATGTGGATGATGGCTATTCTGAAACTTCAAACAATACATCCACCTTTTTGATCTATATTCTTCAATATCCTTGACTTATAAAAATATCAGGTTGTCAAACTTGAAAATTTCAATTGCCTTAGCCATGGGAAAGGAATTTTAAATTACCCTACTCTTTATGTGAAAAAGGGCTTTCTGGTTTCAGTCCTAACCTTGATTTTAACTTTTTGTACTCCTGTCTAGATTTTCCTACTAGTAGAAATACTTTGTTGCCATTGAGTGGTTTTATTAATTTAAGCTTGTCCATTTAATCAATTTACAAGATTCTAAACTTAAGAGAGTGCAAAATAGGTTTGTAAGAGCATCAAGCAAGTACAGCAGCTAGATATAGTATTTTCACATTCACACAGTCACCACCTGCAGATTAGGAGAGATGCATATCTTCCTGTGTGCATTCTGAAGCAATAGTTCCCTCCGCAACCCTCTGACCCTCTCCTCCAACACCCCTTACATCTTGTCCTCTTCTCATGAAATTGCAGGAAGTGTTCTATCTGCTATTTTAGCTCCTCCGTCCTTAATATCTAAGGCCACAAACACTCCTTCCAAGTGAAACAATGGTATATGTGTACTTCTTGCAATTTAGTAAACAGCATTTGCTGCTCATGATGTGGTCCCCACTGTGTTGGGGAGATCAAATGCAGAACAGGTGACCACTTTGCAGAACACTCAGTCTACAGGCATGATCCTAATCTTCTAGTTGCTTGCCAATTGCGTACGTTTGTGTTATTCTCTCTCTTACACACACATTTCTGTCCTTGGTCTGCTCTAATGTCCTGGCAAAGCTCAATGTGAGCTGGAGGAACAACACCTCATCTTCCAGTTAGGCATTTCACAGGCTTCTGGACTCAATATTGAATTCATCAACTTCAGATCATGAATTCTCTGTCCCGTTTTGATTTTTTTTGCCAAGTGCCAGTCTGCGTCCAATTTTTAATGTTTATACTTTCAATCAGAGCTGATCTTTATTCTGTCATTGACACATTCACTGAAATACTCATCACGCATTATTTTCCATGGTAGCTTTGATAATAATATTTGCTACCCTCAAACATAACCCAGAATTTCCTGTTGTTCTACTTCTGCCTATCCTCTTCCCTTTTTCAATGGCACAAAACATATCACATTTTTCCTTGCAGTTCTGAAGAATCACTTTTGGCCTGAAACGTTGACTTCCCTGCTCCTCGGATGCTGTCTGACTTGCTGTGCTTTTCCAGCTCCACATTTATTGACCCCATTTGAATTGAAACATATTTTTCTCTTTTCTCTCTACAGATGCTGCTGGACCTGCTGAGATTTTCCAGCACTTTCTGCTTTTATTCCAGATTTCTTGCATCCATTATATTTTGTTTTTATAGTAGATATTGTACCTGACTGAGAATGCAATTTAATCCCAGATGCATCTCCTTATTCATAAAATTACTTCTTGGCAGATATCATTTACCTACACAGAAATTTCTAGTCACTTCCTGTGCAATTAAGCAGGACGGTACTGCTGAATAGATTTTTTAAACAGAAAACCATTAAATCTCCTGTACAGTTTTTCATACTCCATTGCACTGAAATGAGATGCCAGGAAGAATGTTGGAGTTGGAGTCCAATTTTATATTCATGAAAGTTATAAACAAATAATCTAGATTGCTAACTGTAATGTTCATTTTAAAATTTGTAATAAGGCTTAAATTATGATATTTTTCAGCAACGTTTGATTTCAGGAATTTAAGTTCACACCACAATACTTCATCAGTCCATCTAAAATAAGTGGGGGCTTTATTGGACACTCCGTCCTATTTCTGCACACACTGGTAATCTATCATTTAGTTGAATATCACCACAGGACTAATATAATAGTCACTCAAATTGTATATCAAGAAGTAATTTCTGCTAAAAGCCATTATTTTGCTATATCTGTTGAGTTAGGTTAACTGCAGAGAAACAAGAAGTTGTAATACAAATCCTAATGAGAACGTGAAAATTCTTGGCATTTAGTCCAGAGCCCAGATTCTCTTCAAAAATATCAGGGTAGCAAGACAGTGTTCATTCTTACGTCTTCCTCAACAAGATGGCAGGCATCATCAAAAAGCATGATAATTAGTTTAGTAGAACTGGTCACATGCAAGGGAAAACCTCTATTTGTTTAACTCATTGGGGTCCTATGCTCATTTTTTTTCTCTGTCTTTTGCTCTCTGTCCATTATTCAGCCATTTGGACATAAAACTATGAACTTTAGCCCTTAGCTAATACAAAATGATTTGACATTGCAAATTTCTCAATTTTCTTTGGATAGCACACATATGATTCCCATAGCCAAGAAGCATTATTTACATACCGTCAATCAAGATTAAATTTGAATCTAATTTATAGCATTTGGAGGATATTTGTTAACTCATTGCAAAACTCTAGCTCTCAAAGTTGATTTACATAAAGCATGTTGCTCATTTTAAATGTAAACAAATTTCACGTTTGAATACTTCAATAGCATCAATAGCCCTGATGGCACCTCTGCAAAGCAATAGCTGAAAATCTGTCTTTAAGTATTTGAAAATAATAATAATCAATTCTTCCTCTGAATTAAATGCTTATTTTACCCAGACTATGTTTAAAAATTAGTTATCATTTATCATTATAACAGAAAGTCTAACTCATCAATCACCATTGAGTATCCTTCCAAGTATTTCACTAGTACATCCAGATGTTGTTTTAATACAGTAGTTTATAGTCGTAGCTAAATTAAATTTATACATGCAATCTTTTATTGCTCGATAATGCAAAAGTCGTTGGCGAATACAACTTACATTCTCAGTTGTTCCAGTTATTACATGTAGCCCATCATACGTTGATTTGATATACATTCCCTAGGGAAGATGGGAGAGACAAAGAGAGAGAAAAATAACATATTTCCATAAGAATTTAGTTATTCTTATTCATAGCCGTTAAAAAAACCACAATAATCTAGTTTAAAATAAAACAGGTTGGATTAGGTTTTAATACATATCAACTATGTTTCCATAAATAATGCTATTTGACTATGACAAATGGCATATCGTAAATGGAATTGTTTTGTTATGATTGACCATAATGTAAATCCTAACTTCACTGGCATTTAATTTACCCCTACTGACATATTAACAGAGCTGTAGAATGGTCAAGGTAGATGTTACAGTCTTACAAATATATGTCATAGGTACACGGAGAGCAATAGGATTAACATGTAAGTTAAGTAACAAGATGAAGATGGCTTGAATATGTGGACTTGAAAGGTCTAAGGGATGAATTTACCTTGCCTTGCAAAAATCTAAAGTCTTGATTTTTTTTTAGAAGCATTATAAGTACTCATAGCTCTCGGCGTTCCTCAGACAGTTACAGTAAAGGCAAGGTATGGAGAATGTCCTCCCCATTTCTCCCCAGTAATGCTCCCTAAAATAGCTTCTTGATGGCATTGATGGTGAGGAAGCCGCTGCTGAATGGTGACTTGGACAAAGCTCTGATGTACAAAGCTGGGGCCAGTAAACAGGGAGTGGAGGGGGTGGGGTGGTGGGGAGCGTGGTGCGGGGGTAGGTTAAACATTTATTGCAATTACAATATGGTTATGTAGGATGTTCTTCTGGACTACATATTCAGAAATGTAATACTAAGTTAGAGCGGGGACATTTTTATCCCTCCACAGAGATAAATGCTGATTACCATCACACTTTACACTTTGAATGATCTATGTAAGAAAGAAAGTCATGTGAAGCAGATTAATCAGCTAGATTTCCCTCATATTTCCAAAACACCAATGTAACTTGTATATGGTTGCCATCATGCAATAAACTACATCTTGTTTAAAATAAGAACCTCTTCTCATTAGACTAACAAATAGTTTTTCTCCACCACACAAGACTGTGTAGGCCATGTAGATCTCAATCTAAAAGGAAATTGGTAGCAGCAAATCTAGCTAACGGCTATGGTGAGCAGCATTCCATCTAGTTTTTGTTGGGCTGCCCGGCCCTCCAAGGTCCATGAGTGACAGTGGTTTCTGGAACTGCAGCCAGCAGCTGATAGAGAACGTTGCTAGTGAGCACTCATCACACAACATGGTGAGCAGTACCAGAGATTTCAGTGAACTCAGAAGAACATTTCAGGCACAATTCGAAGAGAGCTACCAGTGCAGGCAACCAGTAGTTGGAAGAGGTGAAAACTCCAGAAGCCTGCAGAAGAACGACTTGTGGCAAGGCTCAACAAGGCAGAATCTACAGACATGAGGAAAGCACAGGGACCAGTATGATCTAGAAGCTACCTGGAGCCGGCACACTCATCACACTTGGCCATTAGCAATTACATTGGGTGATGATGAACTGTGGGAACAAATCAAGGTTAAGCCAAGACACATCACAGATGCTGCAAATAAAATTGAAATCCCTGGTAGGCAAGTGGAAAAACTTGTTAATAAAAATACAACACAGGATGAGACAGCTAAAAGCACCACAGCTCAGAGGGAGTACTGCCAGCACGGTGGGCAAATATCAAGAGGCATGGCGATGGTAAGGGAAATCAAGTGCCACAGAAGTAAATGAGATTGCAGCACTGGGAACAAGGCTAAGCCAGAATTAAAGCAGTATAGGGGCGATTTAGAAGCCAAAGCAGGCAAAGTTTAATAGAAAAAAGTAAGGAGAACACTGAAGACACATAAAGAGATTGTGATGCAGCATTTAAACTGCAGTGAAGACAGGAAGGATTCAGACTGCAGACGGCAGGACTCATCGAGGACCGTAAAGCAGTGGCCGTTATTAGCTGTAGTGCAACAGATAGTGAACAAAATCTAGCCTAATCCCTGAAATAACAAGGTGTAGAGCTGGATGAACACAGCAGGCCAAGCAGCATCATAGGAGCAGGAAAGCTGACGTTTCGGGCCTAGACCCTTCTTCAGCATTCAGCATTCCTGCTCCTCTGATGCTGCTTGGCCTGCTGTGTTCATCCAGCTCTACACCTTGTTATCTCAGATTCTCCAGCATCTGCAGTTCCTACTATCTCTAGCCTAATTCCTTCAAGGAATGGTAGACACCTTATAGAGCCACAGGTAAAGGGGTTCATTCAGGAAAATAGTTAAGAGATAAAGAATCATCTTTAAAGCCACAAGCATTAGGATTCATTCAATAAAGCCCTTAACAGAACAGAAATTGTTTATTCAGCTAGAAAATAAGGAAAGCATCCACGTTGCTAATGAAAAGGTGGGAATCATTCATTTTACTGGCGGAGAAGTAGGAATGGCTGCAGAAGACAGGAATCCTCCATTTTGAGAGTTCCAACACAGGAGATCCCTCCAGTACAGCAGTACAAAGCAATAAAATTGTTATTCAACAGAATCAAAATCATTAAAGCATGAAGAATGAAGCAACACTTTCATACTGCAGAACTGAATGTCTTTAAAAGAAGGAACAGCACAGCAAAAATAATATTGCCAGGTAGGTTTAACTTCAGAGATGAGGGAATTTATTTTCACTCATTCATGGTGTGTGAGCTGCACAGACAGGGCATATCTGGGCACTTTCTTTATGGCTGGGTGGATGCCAGTGGTGTAACTTTATCGGAGTAACTTGGTTCGGGGTTTGGGTAGCTCTGAAGCATGTTTTTAGTGCTACTGTGGAAATATTGTCAAAGCCCTTGTAGCGTCCATTGCTTTCAGATGTTTCTAGATATCATATCAGGTGAAACAAATTTGTTGAAAACTGCCATCTATGAAGCTGGAGAGGGATCATCCAGTTGGCATTTCTGGTTGAAGATGTTTGCAAATATTTCAGACTTACTTTCTAAACTAATGTATTGGGCTCCCTTATCATTGAGAATGGGGATTTTTGGGCCGCTTTCTCCCAGTTAGTTATTTAATTGTTTACCACTGAAGTGATTAAATCTGATTGGCTTGTTGTGGGATTGCATCGCTCTGTCTACTGCATACTGCTATTCCTATTGACATACGAATAGTCCTGTGTTGTAATTTCATCAGGTTGACTCCTCATTATGAGGTAGCTCTGGTGCTGCTCCTGGCATATTTCACCGAACTGGGGAGGATCTCCTGCCTGGAGGTCGATGGTAGAGTGGACAATATGCCAGACCATGAGGCCACAGACTGTGCTGCAGTACAATTCTATTGCTGTTGATGGCCCACAGAACCTCATGGGTGCACAGATTTGAGATGATAGATCTGTTTGAAGTCTGTTATAGCTGCCAATGGCTGAAGCAGTATAAAATTTGCTGCAAGTACTTTTCAGTTGACACAATATGAATGGGAAAGATATTTAGCTGATGTTTGAAGTTGAACTACAGAGTAATTGTAGCCTTCATAGAAGGAATATATCCAAGGTAACAAGATTAAGATAATACACAAGGGTTTTGTGAAATGTCTGCAAAGGGTCCCATTGAATAGAGGCAAAACATGCAGCGCCGTTTGTATGGAGAGAGTTTAATAAGAAACATCCTTGTGAAATACTGATAGAAGTCTCCATACCATGCTGGTCCAGAGTCTAGTGTTCAGAATCGGATAGAAGGGAAGGTGTAGACCACATCATTTATGATCCCTAGGTAACTGTAACCACATGTCATTTATCACACTGAAGTTTTAAGTAGCCAGGCATTAAGGGATTTAACCTATTTTCTGAAACAACCTGTTCAAAGACGTTATTACACACCTCTGGAGTAGGTGGGACTTGAACGCAAGCATTCGGATTCAGGGGTAGGGACACTACCACTGTGCCAAAAGAGGGCCATTAAGGGATTTAATTGTATTCCTGTGGGTATTCAATATCAGGCAGATAGAAAAGGCCCTCCTCCTATTATTAGTGGAGTAGTGAATAACTGGCAAATAAGCTCCAGCCTGGGATATGGCTGAATGAGATGTACAGTGAAGACCCAAGGATAAATGGTGAGGTGGGGGTCTAGTAAACATCATGAGATTGTGGGATGACCTCAAGCTGACCATGGACGAATCATGCTGTCACATGATTAACCTGACTGGATGTGTATGTAATCAATTAATAATGTGATTCGTTTGTAACAGCCAGGGGCAAGCTAAATGTAAACATACAACAAAAGTAGTTTCAGAGATAGTAGGAACTGCAGATGCTGGAGAATCTGAGATAACAAGGTGTAGAGCTGGATGAACACAGCAGGCCAAGCAGCATCAGAGGAGTAGGAAGGCTGACGTTTCGGGCCTAGACCCTTCTTCAGAACAAAAGTATGCATGTTTCCCTTTGTGGAAATGTCTCTGGACTGCCAGAGGCTTTCTCCTTGCCTTATTGTGCAAAACAATAAACTCTTTGATGCTTGAAGTGGACCTCAGTGTTGACTGATTCGTTTAGTCATTCTGCCCCAATAATTTGGCATAGTCAGCCAGATCCATGAAGCATGGACCACCAGCGGGTGGATGGACCAGGCTACACAAGTATCCTGTACCCATAGTGACCTGTAACCTCAGTTTGTTCGGTATCTCCTCACAGTCTCCTATCTGAACCTGAAAAGGATCCACTCAGTATCAAAGAGCAGGAGGTAGGAGAGTCATAAATGTTATGACTTCAAGATATAGTCACAGGCCACCTTGAGGCACTCCTTGATTGAAAGGTGGGGGTCCTCTTGGATGGCTAAAGTTGACTGGGAGACACTCCAAGTTACACCTTGAGGGAAGCTGAGGGTTGTCATCCATGTGTAGGTCTTAACTGAAATGGATGGATTGGTGTGACCCAGTAATATCCGATAAATGATTGTGCAGGAAGGATCCAAATCACACCTTGAGGGAGGGGTGGGGGCCCTCAGGACTGCCCACTTGCTAATCCTACAAACAGAATAGATAACAAAACGGTGGTCACGGGAGAGAAGGAACTAG